TGGAGTGATATAATATGATATAAAGGTCTAGAAATAAGAAATTAATATAATCAATAGGCAGCGCATGTCAAAGGTTTCTTAATTTGTGACTGAAAAGAGACACCGGGGGGACGGTATTGTTTGCATTGTTATAGTGTTTCAGATTGGTAGATTTTAATTAGGGTTTTATCACCATTTTTCATAGAACGTGGAATATAGGGCTATTCCTATTCCAGAATATCAATAAATTACAAAGTAAATTGGGACTTTTTAAATATGACCAACTATACCAATAATTGTGATTATAAATAGATATAACTATATGTATAACCTATATTAGCCTAAGTATAGTCAGATGATAAAAAGATATCGTGATTTATTTAATTATCAAACAAAGTAACGATCTAGAAGAACATGAAATCCACAAGTACTTCAGGAAAAATAAGCGGAAAACACCGAACTAACCACAAGACAAGTGAGTTCACGAGAGGCGACTCTGCAAATAACAGAGTCGGCTAACGAACTTTGCATTGCAGTTTAATTAGTTGCAAATGCTGTCATTTCTTTTCAGTTTTACTCTAGGAGAGAAGAAAAATCAAATCCACAATGTAACGATTTTAAAGGCGCAAAAATATTTTCCAAAAATAAAGTTTTATTAATTTAAAGGCCAATCGTATTATGAAATTAATATTTCATATCTGCGTAACCAGTGCACCGAAGAAAGCCAAATTTTTCACCTTCACCTTTTAAATTTGACAAATTAAACGGGTTTTTATTGTACGTCAAAACTAATATGTGTGTAAAGGATTATAGATATCGGATTGCCGCTGGACAGTAATCAAATTAATGAATTTCATTATGAGATCGATTCATTTGTGTATTAAGGCCTGTGGTTCAGTGGCAAAAGAATTTCTTGTGTTTACCAATAATTATTTGTATGTACAATTTGTACAATTTGTAAGTTGATATTATGGAGCGTGTCGCTTGGTTTCGCCTTGAAGCTGGGTAACAAATGAAAGGGCACGGATAATTAAGTATAAGTTCACTTTGAGATTTATGGTAAAATGTTTTCCCAGTTTTCTCCTGCAAACGTAAGAATCTTCCAAGGCAAAATTGCAACACTAACCGAGCAAGAAGGCCATGGTGTCTGGCTTCTATCCCCGACACCAGCACTCAGNGAATTTATTTGAGTCATATAAGAATCTAGTAGAAGTGGTTTACATGTGTTACTGGGAATCCACTCTCCACCGATGCTCGGTTCGTATGTACCTTTAACCAACCAGTTATTACTGGCGTCTTTCGTGTTTTGACCGACCTAGACTGCGATTCCATTGGATGACAACTATCGTTTGATCAAAGATAAACCGAGAGTCATGGGCATTTTTCTTTTTTACATTTCTAGGTTATCATTAAAAAAAAAAAAGAATTGATGAGCTATTCTTCGGACTTGGTTTTTATTGCTAACTTATTTCGACAAGAGAGAAACATCAGCTACTATCATTGATAATAACTAACTTTTTAACTGGGGTATAAAATGAATAGTTTTTTAGATAGTAACTTGCCCATAACCCAAGATCTGTAGATATCTTTCATTACTGACAACAGTTTAAGTTCTATATAAAATATATACTAAGCAGAAAAGAGAAAAGAAACGCAAGTTTTTGTTTTGACCACAGAGCTTAAAATTGACCAAAAAAAGCACATGTTAGTCTGCGAACTGTCTCTGTCCTTCAGTAGAGAACTGATACGCTTGAGTTATTTAGACAATGGCTTGCTTTAGATAAAGTCTTGCAGAAATGATTTGTCCACAATCAATGCTAATGGATCCTGAAATCAGAAAACCAAGTTTAGGACACTGACTTCCATACTGTCATCATCTTGCTGATCTGGACAGGGATCGTGTCATTGCCATTGGCACAGTGTTATGGTTTGGGCGGGCATACGTGGGAATTTCCAGAAAGAACTTATGGTGATTGCAGTGATTGGTATACATCTGACTGGTCAGCAGTACAGAGACAAAGTCCTAAGGACAGCTGTTGTGCCATTTATGCTGCAACACCCAGCCCCACCCTTTCTCTGACAGGACAACGCCCGTCTCCATACTGCCAGGATAGCACATACTTCCAGGATAGCCTCTTCCATGGCCAGTTTTTAGTGCCGATGTAACGTGGCAGAGAGTGCCCCATATCAGAGAGTCCGCTTCTCATTCATTTGCACAGGTGATCCTTGCCCTAGATTTTGACCCACTTAGGTCTGGCTAACCCTAACCATTATAACTATATGGAGGGCGGACTTTCTGTTTCGTTACACCGGCATATCTCCCATTGAGCGAGTCTGCGATGAACTGGGCAAACGACCTCATAACCACCAGCCACGGCCTACCATCGTCATAGAGTTAAGAATGGAGAAGGTTGTCCAAGGTCCGCATTCGAGGTGTCGTCCGGTCCATGAGTAAGAGGACTGTATTGCAGCCAGGGGAGAGCACACATGTTACTGGACAATATACTACCATTTAAATCCATAGACATAACAAAACTTGCGTTTCTTTTTTGGCTAGTATATGTGCCATGCAAAATATAGTGTGTCATTTAAAACTAGTGTTCACCTTCTCATTTTCTCTGATAAATTATTTCATTCTTATTATAAACATGAAGCTTTTAATAGTTAGAAAGACTTCTTTAGTGTTTTTTCGTTATGTGTTTGATGAAATTTCTTTTTCCAAGCTTCAAAATGACACTTTGGCAAAGTCCTTCAGTTGTCACGGTAGTTGGTAGTCTTGATTATGCGAAGATTGTCACTGCACCGTTCACATCAGTGCAGACTGGGTGGTCGTAGTTTATGTGGAATGGGCAACCGTTTACGGGGTGGACCCGGGGAGGGTCTCGGACTCACGGGCTTTCTTGGGACAGAACGACCGTTGTCGGGCGCTGGGCCTCGTCCGTTCACCTAAAAGATACAAACAAACGGAAGCTAAGTTTCAGATATCCATTAGTGACGATGAACATCTGGAACAAGAATCGGTTTGAACATAATTCGAGCCCAAACAGGACAGGGTTACTCTGGATTCGCGCCAGCGTTTTTATTTTCATATCTCCATAAGTGGACACTGGTGGTCGTATATTACTACTATAATCATAAACGTCCATTTTAATGTCCAGTTAAAACTTATAGTGCCTCCGTAAAAGGGCATGTGACGTAACAACTAATCCTTATAATTGATTTGCTTGGCTGAAGCAAGTCTGAACAAGCAGGAGGACCCCAAGAATATGCGTTTGAGGAACATGCAGATAGGATCTGGGAATCACTGGCAAACTAGTGTCTTGGAAATCACTGGTTAACAGTGTCTTGGAGACTCAAATAAACGTTCAACAACAAAAAGAGTGTTTTTGGCTAATGGTGCCACATGTCCATTTCTGTCCACCTAACTTATTAGCATTTTAACTCCCATTTTTACTCATTGTGTTGTATGTTAAGCGTAAATAAATAAGTAAATAAATGAATGAATAAATAAATAAATACTCTTGCTACTATATTTAAGCCTTTTGCGTTACATAAAACACGCTTGGGCATTGGATAAAAATGTGGTCATAAGTTAATTCGAGGTATTTTATGACAGCCGCTCATTTCTCAGATATTAAAATACATTTAGTCTGTGTGCGTGTAAGGCTTTTTTAATGAAAAACTTTTATCGACCAGCGGGGCACGTGTTTTGATAAATTGTTCATTTGAAGTGCGCTGAAGGTCAGATCCTGATTAGTGACCAGAAGTGGAAATCCAAATATGACGAGCCATTAGATATAATTTCGTGTAGACAGAAGATATGGATATGGTAGCACCAAGAATAAAACACTGGATTTGGATAGCAGGTCATACGAACCGACATGGTTTGCATATACTAGATGGATATGTATAGCATGGTATATGGAAAATGATGGATGCATATCATGGTATATGACTATGGGTATGAATATCATGGTATATGGAACTAAATGGATACGGATATCATGGTATATGGAACTAGATGGATACAGATATTATGTTATATGGAGCTAGAAGGATATGGATATCATGGCACCTGGACTTCGCACTTTGACTGTTGACATACCATGACTTGGCATATGAAGTTTCCCAGCGCTGCACACTTTTGTTCCTTCCACTTTGGGTTTCTTTTCGTGTTAATGGCGGCACAATTCTTCCTTGGATTAGGCCTTGATTCACCACCTCCTGCTCCGTCCCAGTTCACGTAGGTTACAGCAGTGCCATCTATCCACCGCCATGGGCGTGTCTTCCCTCTGGAGAGCCCTATCCATGTGGCGAACGGTACGACGCTGGAAAGAAATGAGGAATAATTGCCGCAGAACCACATATATGAAGCCTCGCACGCCTTATCATTAAATATGAATAGAAAAATTCCAACACTTGAAAAGAATATCAAAATCGTAAGTCTTTGGCGCTGTTATTTTTTATTTGTCACAATAAGTGTTGTTTTTCAAATTCGAGACTTTGGTTTCTAGGCGCTTTTTTAATTGCAAGGCAAAGCAAATCGTGTGTTGTAACTGTCTGTATTGCCATCATGTATGTTTATCATCTTTATTGCTGACTGATCAATAAACTTTTGAAGCGTTTCATAATCAAAACAAAAATAAATGAACTAGCTATCACGAGAGTCTCCATTCCATGTTTTTAAATCGGTTGATATCAGTGGCTGAGGACATTTTATACCGTAAGCTTTTAAATAGTTATTTTATGATTGATATTGTTTTAAATACAACAGCTGTGTAAGTAATTGTCATACTGGTGTAATGAAACAGAGGGCCCGTGTAACAGAAAGTCCGCCCTTCATTTAATTATAATGGTTAGGGTTAGCCTTACCTAAGTGGGTCAAAATCTAGGGCGAGGCTTACCTATGCAAAATAATGGGAAGCAGCCCCTCTATTACGGGGCACTCTCTGTCGCGTTACACTGGCAACTGTCAAACATTCAGATGCGTCAAATTACCCATACCACGACATGAATTACAATTACCCTTTTGGTATCAGACTCTCAGCCAAATCCTCTTCATTCTGGTGTAGAATCACAGATAAAGTTGCCCCAGCTGCCAGCTGTGGACATAGACTAGAGGCAGAAACGTAGTCGACATTCACAGAGTTGTTTGTTCCAAAGAATTTGAGGCATTTAGTTCCATCTGAGGTAGAGTTCCAAGTCTCTGTACCCGGCGGTCCACCAGGGCAAGCTGAAAAATAAAAAAACTCATTATTCCTTATGATAGTTTGATGTTAACTGGTCAAGACTTCAGTTAAATAAAGTATAATGTCGAAAGATATTATACATTCAATAGGCCTATAACTTACTTATGATTTTTTCGCATGTTATGCCGTCACCTCTAAAACCAGCGTGGCAAGTGCAAGTGAACCTGCCCATGGTGTTGGTGCATGTCGCATCTTTGGCGCAGTTATCCGTTTGCAGGAAACATTCATTAACGTCGTTACATGCTGTGCCGTCGCCACTGAAACCAGCTAGGCAGGTGCAGGTAAAACTGCCCACGGTGTTGGCGCATGTGGCGTTCTCGTCGCAATTATTTGTATCTAAGTCACATTCATCTACATCGGCACACTTTGTGCCATCGCCGCTGAATCCAGCTAGACAGGTGCAGGTAAAACTGCCCACGGTGTTGGCGCATGTGGCGTTCTCGTCGCAATTATTTATATCTAAGTCACATTCATCGACATCGGCACACTTTGTGCCGTCGCCGGTGAATCCAGCTAGGCAGGTGCAGGTAAAACTGCCCACGGTGTTGGTACATGTGGCATTCTCAGCGCAATCATCTTTTTTCAAAACACATTCATCCACATCATAACACGTTATACCGTTTCCAGTGAAACCAGCCGAACAATTGCACTCATAACTTCCGTATGTGTTCTTGCATTTTGCATATTTCGAACATAGATCTTGGTCCAAGTTGCACTCGTCTACGTCCGAACATTTTATGCCGTCACCGGTGAACCCAGCTACACAAGTACATGTATAACTTCCATAAGAGTTAATACACTTTGCTTCTTCACTGCAGCTGTTTAACCCCAGTGTACACTCGTCAATGTCATTGCAAACTATTCCGTTACCGCTATAACCCGGTAAGCAACTGCACTCGAAACTTCCGTAAGAGTTTATGCATATGGCATTCAGTGCACACAGGTATGTTTCAGTTTTACATTCGTCAACATCTGCACAAGTTGTGCCATTGCCGCTGAAACCAGGGAGGCAGGTGCAAGTAAAACTACCAATAGTATTGTGGCACGTTGCAGTTGGAGCGCAGTTGTCTGTGTGCAGAAGACATTCATCTATATCCGTACATGAAGTACCGTCGCCGCTAAACCCATCCAAACATGTACACTTGTATCCGTCTCCGGTTGCATCGCATGTTGCGTCTACTGCACAGTCGTCTGTACCAAGTTCGCAGGCGTCTTTAACCTGAAATATGAGAAAAATATCAAACAACTGATCACATTTGAACTGAAAGTTGTGGATTGGATACTTTGCCATTGTCAAAATTCATATCTGTGACAATGATTAAAGATATGCAAAAATAATCAACACTGAAATAGTTTATTTACAGGCCCGCAAAGATCATTTAGAGAAAACAACCCAGAGAGAAATTAAATGCATGTTGCAAATGACAAAACTGGATTTTTATGAGTTAATTGTGAAACGAATGCACCATTGGTGCCTCGTGTCTTAATAACATAACAGTTGATAGGTTTATTTACTTTAACTTGACAAATGACGTTCCCAGGGGTTTTACACCGTTGTTTCTTCCAACAAATCGTGTTCCTTTTAGTGTTTATGGCGGCACAGTCCTTCAAAGGCTTATTTTCAGGGTTTCCGTTCCAGTTCACGTAGTTAAGAGGACTACCGTCTACCCAATGCCATTGTTGGCTGGCGTTTTTACGGAGGCCTATCCACGTGACGAAAAGTGAACCTCTGCAACAGGTAAAAACTGACCTTACAAGGGGTCATTATCATTACGCATGCGTCAAGCTACAAAGACTATCCATGGTTGGTTCTGACACCACTGTTTACATCTTTTGTACTATGCATAATTAAAATATAACCGTAGCGGAAAATATTATACTGTGTTATCCCACTCATATTTCTTTAAAATGGTTTAGGTAAAGATTCTTCTGTTACTTTCTGAATGCCTCGTCTTTAGAAAAAAATTGAAAGTTGCCTAGTTTTGCAAGTTCATATTATTGCATATTTCATTTTGGAATTGGAACGTTTTCGTGGAATGGTTGCTTCTTTAGAAAACATAAGAACCATGTCAACTCCTGGTTACAAATGGGGTAAAATCTCTTTAATTTTATTTACCCAGCTGGTATGAAGCTCTCTGCCAGGTCTTCTTCTTCTTGGTTCTCAATCACCGCCAACGTGGCCCCTTTTGCCTGCAGAGCACAAAAACTACCAGCAGTATTGTAGTCGACACCCGTATCACCATTTGGTACAAAGTATTTGTAGCATTTTGGTCCAGCCGGAGATGCCGACCATGTCTTCGTACCCGGTGGGCCACCTACACAAGCTGGGGAGGGGAAAACAGAAAGAGCCATTCTTAAGACTGTGACTGTGCCATTTATACCTGATGTAGCAGAAAGGACACATTCGTTACTTGTACTCTCTCTCTCTCTCTCTCTCTCTCTCTCTCTCTCTCTCTCTCTCTGTTTTGTTCTAATCTGTTGAGCTTGCTATTATTTAATCATATTTCGATCAAAATTAACAAAAGATGTAACCAGTATAACAAATACGCCTAAAGTGCACAGAACTCTAATTTCTATAACAAAAGTTTAATTCCTCTAACAAATTTCACAAAATGTTTCGGTGTATGGTTCACAGAAGTGAAACAAGTGTTTGACTCATCAAGAAAAACCTTTGTGGCGTTGGATATAAAAGTGATGGCTGGATTATTTGATGAATATTTCTTCTATATTTGTTTTTACATGCTCTATCTACTAAAATACAGATTGTCCAACTTCAGCAAAAATCTATCGTTATCGGAGGTAGTGAAATTAGAAAAAAGTATATATACGTCAAATGCCATTATAATATATACCCTCTACCAGTGCCGCAGATTAATTTTGTGCACTTTTCTTCACAGTACAGAAATGTGCCATGCATTACCCAGAGGCATATCTGTAAATAACTAGTGAAAAATATGTGGCCCTGGTAGAGGAAAATATGCCACTTTGTATACGACAATTCCAAGTCACATGACGGGATGCCTCTTAATTAAAATGATCTGGATCATTCTTGGGTTGTGGTGATACAGGGGTACATTGTAACACGGAGAAAATGGTCAGTCGCTTTTGCGCACATTTCAATATTGTATGGCAGATTTTTAAAAATCTGAAACCATCTACACAAAAAGACAATGGAATAGCACTGTTATCCCTAAACTGAGCGTCCGAAAGCAGGGATACAGTCTACCACGCTGGTTGAATACGTTGGTTGTGATTTTGACCCTGCTATCTGTAGTTCAACGAGTCAGTTGGTTCCAAAAGTCAACAACAATAATCTTCATTGCTCATCGTTTTAAATTCATTTGTTAGTCAATTGCTGTTTGACAGATTTTCATTTCATTTTGGATTTTATATATTTATTTCAGCACTTATGCATTCGTGTACCTTTTATCCTTTGATACATTTATTTATATAACTCTTAATTTCATTTTCTCTCAGTTTGTTCTACGTTTGTTAATTTTGGTGGTTGGTATTGTTAACTGACACATATTGACAAATATCAACTAACCTTGCCTAGCTTTGAGTCCTAATGTCTGGAGCAAATGGACTGGATCGGCTTTGTCTACTGTAAATAGTCAGATATAATATTGTGAAAAAAAAAACACGTGTTTAGCTAGTGTCATTATTTCCTTTTATATTTCAATCTTATTTTGCATCATGGGATTTCCGTCATAGCACAAGCCTTTGTTATGTTCTTTCAGAAAAATGTCAAATGTAAAATTGAAAGCGCATTTCATCGGCCAGAAGAAGCGCAATTGAGTTTCAGTGTCTATGTTATGTTTTTAAGCCGTCAATAAAGAAAACGTACCTGGAAAACTCGACAACAATACCACCCAAAACAGAACTCGATACTTTTCATGGTAGTCTAACATGTCCGTCACTGTTCCTGTCTCTAAACTGCAATGGCGGCCAACCACTGTCATATCCTTATCGTATTTTAGTTGACAAGTGAAACACGTGAACTATATGAAATCATAAGAATTGAGCCTGAAGACGAATCATATGACGATGACACATGAGAATCCATTACTCTTTAAATATCCCGAAGACACTTTACGCTTTAGGCGAGTGTCCGTTAAGGTGCACAGCAAATAGTTTTGGTTCCGACAGTTTAAAAACTGCTTAATCAAACCCTTCTAGGTTTTAAGCAATAACTAAATTGATTAATTAACGCTCTTAATTGCTCCCCCCCCCCCGCTTCCGCCCACGGCACCTATATTTTGCAAGCGTAGACGTGTTGAAGGTGAAACTGATTAATGTGAGTCAAATTTCTTCAAATAAAATAGGGATCTAAAGGGTCGCATTACCTTCAAACCGATTAACAATGCGATTATCTAACATAAAACGAGAAATAAATTTAAAGATGGTTTGCATATTGAATCGTGTGAAATCAATACGAGATTAACTACCCCCCAAAAAAATGTTTGTAAGTATCAGTACAGTCCTTTGGATAAAAGCTGTAAGGAACTTCAAGTTTGAATTTATTTCAGTAATATGCTTTATTTACGTGGATGTATTTGCTTTGAAGAAGCAACGTTTAACAGCCTCGTTTTTATCAGAATATGTAATAAGCATTCTATGGCATGGGCTACTGGTCGAAGTCTCAGCAGAGATGATAGTGCATTTACATGTACATTACTATAACTTAACTTATACGGTCGTACATAAGCAAACCTTTTGTCCGAAGTCAAATGTGCATCTCGTAAACATAAATTCAAAAAAATTACATTCTAGAGCCCACGCTGGATAAATTGTTCAATGTTAGAGTAAAACGTAAGTATTTAATTGCGTAAAAAACTAATGTAATGTTGATGGTCATTAAAAAAAATTGATCTGGAGTAACGCCAAATTAAAGCTTAAATCATTCGAATAATTTGCTTTCCACGCCAAATGTGAGCATATCACTAACGTTTATTAGAAAAGGTTATTGATCGAACTTGAACAATAACAACAGCGTTGAATAATCACGACAACATCCTTACTGGGTACAAGATTGATGTATATACAACACGCAAGCGTAGCATATTTCTAATATTGTCGTTGGGTAAAAAAAACCCTTGTAGAGTTTACATTCAGTAGTCTAACGAATGCACAGGGCGGTTTCCGGCTGACATGGGCCGACCTATGTAAGCCAATAATATCGAATTACGATTTCTAACCACAGTGACTGATCTAATCCATTTTGTGACCCACCCCTTGCCGCTGCCGTTAGACTGGTCTCAATCATAGGTCCCTGCCTCTAGAAAAAAAAAAAACAAAATGCCGAGAAACGCCGTATAGCATTCAGGATTGGGTGTTTCAAAAATGCCTTAATCCTGAAAAAAAAGGTGTAAAGAATTAGACAAAAAATTAGTCTAACTCAAGAAAAATTAGAGGTACTCAATTTGATGCAACATTGGGACTGTTTTATAAGAAGACAACCAAGACATATATACCAGACCGATGCTAACTCTATAGAAGTGGATTTGAATGTACTAAATGAATTAAACTTAATCCGAAGTAGACCGAATATCTGGTCTAAAAATTAAAACCAATTTTCGGACCAAGGACTTTTGTGATACAGTCCCCATATGTTAAATTACGCAGAGCAAACAGCACCGAATGACCTCGAGCTATGTGTATTATACACGTATATATGTATTTGTCATACACTCGTGCCTTATAACCAGGGGGTAGTGGCCAAGTGTTATTTATTGAAACATCAGTGACTATCTTACAGTTTGTGGTGGCGAGAAGAGTATGGACTGGTCAGTGTTTAATGGGCAGTGGGCAGTGTTTGAGCCTGTTTGTTGTGTGCTCAGATGCATTTCCAGTGTTCCGCACGCTCTTCAGTTTTTGTTGATAAATATGAAATTTTGAAAGAGTTGCCAAGTTGCGCTTGCAAAAAGAGGACAAAAATCTGGATTGCTATTTATCGCACATCAGTAGGGGTCTACAGTGCAATCTGTTACATTCTTAAATTCTTTTCAATTTTTAAATTCTTAAAAGAGTCTAAATAAAGAGAGCCTTGTGGACCTTTCACACACAAACGCACACAAGCTCACGCTCTCGCACGCGCGCGCACGCACACGCACAAGCACACAGTTGGCGGGTTATAATTCAGACAACTTAGGCCTACTGCTGCGCCACCCATGGCTATCAAATTACACACCGGAATATTTTCAAATGTGCCTGTTTTAATAATATAAAGTTTCACCGAGATGGGGTAGGGGTAATCGCTTTGGATTGTTGGTTGACCTAAAAAAACGTATTCACAAGTAGTTGTGTTGTGTTTGGGAGAATGAGTGCGGTTGTAGTGAATTGTAACGTCTCATCTGTCACAATTGGGCGTTCTCAGTGCACATTTTGATTGCCCGTTTCGTTGATATTCCAATGTAAAGTCATTGTGCATTTGAATTCGGTTTACTCTCTCATATACCATTTCACACAGTGACATATTGCCAATTATTCCGCGTGCCATGTAAAGGCAAAAAAGAAGAAAATAAAGGCGTGACAGATCCTCGCATAATATGTGAATAGCAGGACTTGCTTTGTGTTTCCATCTATCCATCAGTGATCGATCTAGGTTTTTGTCGAGGCATGCAAATAGCGTAGAGACTGCTCTCATTTATCAGGTGTGTTATACTAGGAGCAATGCAGTTGGTTAACTCGACACAATGTTTGACCTGGTTTGCCTTACTATCAACCACAGCGCTTTTTTCAGGTCACGCGCTTCAGGTAAGACAACGGCACACGAGGGTGTGACAATCTCGACTTGCTAACCTCGTCATCGAAAGGTACATAACAGGTAAGCTAGATTTCCTTCAAAAGAAATACAACCCAGGATAGATAGATACGGGGAAAGATCACGACAGAGTGGTGCTGGAACCGACGGTTGTGCGGGTAAAAAACATCCACTTTCCTTGAGTACAATCAACTTTGCACACCGTCGCTTTCATTTCGCCTCATCTTCTTTACTAGGTGAATCTATAATTCATTGTACTTGGTATATGCCTAGTATTGATTTTCCTATAGAATGGATTGTATTGGGTTTTACTGAATGGATTTCAGGGCAATGGACAGACCGTAAGCTAGGATGTCTTAGACAGTATATATAGAAAATATGAAAAACAGACCCTAGACGTCTTTGTAATCAGCCTTCGTTACCAAGGATAGCAAGCAGCATGTATAGACTTACTTATGTGACGTGATTTCAGTGCTGGTGTAGGCCAAATATAGGCCCCACGACAGATTGTTTTTAAATGTACATGTACTGACTTACACAGGTAATAAACGTGCATCACTAGACGATAACATAACAAAGGGAAAGTGTCGCATTTAAAAGGAGCAAAGATCAAGCATCATCAGTTTGAGAAGTGGCTCAATGAAGTTTATTGCCGTTACAAGTTAGGACCATTATTTATTAAATCAAATTCTGCCTGAACCCTTATTTGTTTAGGCGAACAATTTCATACTTGTATTATGATTCACAGCAGTGCGTGTGCCTTTTTACTAAAAAGAATACCGTCATCTATATCGGCCTATACATTGATAATGGCAGCGAGCATTGCTATTATGTTGAGCATTTGACCCATGAACAATGCATGTCAATTCTTTTGAACCAAAAATAGCTGTTTGTAGTAATAATACACTCAGTACTCAGGGCGTAGGACAGGATATCAACATATTTTACATTTTCATTTAAAACGCCACCTTCTCTCTCTCTCTCTCTCTCTCTCTCTCTCTCTCTCTCTCTCACACACACACACACACACACACACACACACACACACAAAGAGAGCTATACCAATTGTAAAACATTTAATAAACACAGATATTTCACGTTTTCATTGCAGGAACACTATGGAGGAAAACGCCCCATCGCTACTGACCAGTGAAGAGTATCAGAAATTAATGAGTGATCTTCACTCGCCATTTGCATTCAGAGCCGCCCCCTTGCCAGACGACACATTACCAAACAGCGACCGAGTGGACGGGAGCAGACGGCAAATTTCCACTGAGTCTGTAAATGCAAGGGGAAAAATAAAAAGTGATCCTTTCCTGAACCGATACATAAGCTATGTAGACACCTACGAGGCAAGACTTCTGAAGGATGCCGAGGATGTGGAAGAGCGAGTTCGTTCGTACTTAAATACGGAAATTTTAGACAAATTGAACAGATCACAAAGTGGAAATATATCGTCAAATTTAATGTTGAATTTTGAACTGATGCCGGCAGGGAGCTTCTACGAGGGCGTGAAAGTCAAACATGCCAATGAATTCGACTATCTACTTGTCCCTTTCATTGAAGACACAGCCAGCAAGCGGCGCATCGAAATCGGCTCAAAACTAACCATGACAAGAAATTCTCTACCAACTATCAAAAATATACGGGATCGTCCTGTCCAGCACCTGTCCTATTTCAGCCTTGGTACAAATGACCACGAAGTTGAGAGGGCACTCCGCAGTCTTACCGGCGCGTCGACAGGTGGCAACGGAAAGATATCGGCACGGAATGTGACGGAGGGTTTACGGGCAATGGTCTGTGAGGCTCTTGGGTGTGGCAATTCTAATTCTGTCACCACCAAAGGGCCTGCGGTAACTCTGTACCTGAGTTGTCCAGGAACACAGGAAAACGGCCTGTACTTGAGGTGTCTTGGGAGAGAAATAGGAAGAGCTGGGATCCAATACCCAGTAAAAGTTGATTTGACATTGGCGCTTAAAGTGGAGGTTCCATTACAGTGTGAGTTCATGTATGGTTTGGTGGGATATTCAAACGATTTTCTCTGTCAAAAAAAAAAAAAAAAAAGACTTGTTGCACACGCACGCACGCACGCAGCACGCACACTTTTCTGTGTAAAGCATTACCGCATCACTGTTCATTTCTGCCTGACACATGAAAAATGAAAATCCTTTTGAAGAAANAAAAAAAAAAAAAAAAAAATTGTTGCACACGCACGCACGCACGCAGCACGCACACTTTTCTGTGTAAAGCATTACCGCATCACTGTTCATTTCTGCCTGACACATGTAAAATGAAAATCCTTTTGAAGAAAACTGAAAGTTGATGAACATCTGCCTGTCTGTCTGTCTGTCTGTCTGTCTGTCTATCGGAATGAAATATAAAAACATAAAACAGCAGATCTATAGGTCGTGGATATCAACTTCTACTTCTTGTTACTATTCTTCCGAAAGCCGTTTCCATCGCAGGTTCTAGTAAGTAGTCCAGGTTCTAATGTTTGCTCTAATCTGAAACATATAAAACATTCTGTAAATTCAACACTCAGCTACTGTAAATTGAAATATATTAAATAATATTCCTAAACCTGATGTTACAACAATATCGTCTTTCAGACTTCGATGAGGGTGACAATAAAACAAAGATAGTGGAACTGAACGAACTGACCGCTAGACGTCGCCACGACCTGACGAAGCAAATTCGCCACTGTTTCTTTGTCACTGCTGGTGATTTTTGGCAGTGCAGCTTTAGTTATCATCAGACCTACATCATCCGTGAAACAGCTGAGGAAAACCAAAGCGGATTAAGAGCCATCAAGGTGAGAATATAGTGTATAAAACACGTGCCTTTTTTTATTCTATTTAATTAGATTAAAGTCAACTAAATTAAGAAATGAAGCGAATAAAGATAAAAAAATTCAAATAACATAAAACTCGTGTTCTTGAAATTTTTTAAATGGCCTGAAAAGGGAAATAAGCCGAATACCGCAGTGATATTGTTATATTTTGTCAAATGGAAATACGCATGTTGAAAACTGTCCTGAACTCATTAAAGGATTTCTTGAATTATTACGTTTTTGCGCAGATTGCACTTTCATCTGAAAAGGCAAAGCCGCACACATGAATATGCGAATTTCATTTTTAAAGCTGCTTTAAAAGTAGAATGTCATTACTGTCAGTTGATAAACAGAACAGGAACAATTGATTGATTCCTGAAAAAGTCCTAAGAGAAAGCTATTTCCAATCCATTGATTGATCTGCGTCAATAGTCATACAAAAATAGGCTCACAAAAAGAGCTATTGAATATTGATAAGGCCTGGTAAATGATTTTTCACGTTACAGAGTTTGCGAGATGACCTCTCCCTATCGGACCCCCTGGACAATACCATCCTCAGTACGTATCCTCTTAAGGTCGCTTACCTCAACAAAACCTTCAACATGGACGACGAGGACGTGGAACGTCAGGGAAAGGTAAAGAGAACGTGTAAAAATATACTCGTGCGTCCTACACCCAGATTGAAAAAAAAAGAGTCTGTTGCATTTTGCTTCAACACCTTACATTTCAGATGTAACATGAATTAACAGACAAATGACAAGAAATTGGTATAATTTACACAATGGACGTGTCTTTGAAAACTCTGTTTAGTGTTGCAGCGCACCCTTGAGGGGCAGATTCATGTAAATATTTAGTGCTCCTGATCTAAAAACTCATTATTTGCTTATATTTTTCAGGAAACAAAATGGAACGCTGCTGAAATTGATAAACATGTGGTTGACATGCTTCAGTCAATTGACGAGCAGGGAGCTGAAAGAAGCATGAAGGATATCTTCATTAAAAACAACGCTGTGTTCCACGACGCCGATAAGTCTTATCTTGAAAGCCGACGACTTCTGCGCCATCTGAAGACAGAAAAGAAACTGTATAAATTACATGGGCGTGGCCACTGCTGCTGCCTGTCAATCATTATAGTGCTACTCATTTTAGTTGCTATAACGGCTCTGACATTTAATGAGGCCATAAATTACAAAACATTACCAAAAGAAATATGTATAACAGCATCCATTAGTAGCGGGTCGGTTATAGTTGGCTTACTTTGCTTATTGATGGGGATTGTCTGTTTTGCTCTGACTTCCTGTTCCTTTGTTTTGTTTAACCGCTGCTGTGTGAAGCGCCAGTCAAAACTGTACCAACTGTCATTTTGCTGCCTTTTGTTTCTCTACATTTGTGCTTTGATTTTTGCATTAATTGTCTTCGGCATTGTTTTAACCATTTTGATTCTATTCTACTTTGCTCGCATGGACGCGTGCCAAGTTGTGTCGGATATGGAAGACTATTTCCACGTGGCCGCAGGGATATCTTTTGCCGGCGTTGGGCTGGTGTTTCTTTACATCTCCATCTTCTATATATGCCTTAGATATTGTGGGCGTCATTGCATGTGGGGCACACACTCATGGCCGCGTTGGGACCTTTGCTCTAGTTTCAGGGGAACATGCGTGGGCGTCTGCTGCCAAAAAAGCTACCACAACGACGTTTTTGCTTGGTTCATGTGTGATGACATCTTCTGTCGTATTTGCTGTCGTAGGATGTATGAAGAGGGCTTCATTCGTGGACCTCTGCGGGCCTCGGTCTTTGACAGGGCCACGGCACGGTTTCAGAAAACAGTTGGCCTGAGTGGAGCAGTTGAGGAACGAGTGGCCGTCACTTACGAACGAGAGACAGGAGGAGCTTTACAAACCGTAGACCAGTCTGAAGCGTCAGTTAGTGAACAAACAAGACATGACGGCGAAAGCGGGGAAGCGTCCTCTTCTCAAATCAGTTTGGATGTGGAGGTTTCCCCCCGTTCTGAAGTTACCACTGATGACAGCCAAGATCCTGGAACCGACAGAGATCACCAACAGGAAGTCTCAGACGTGGAACAAGAACCGGACGAACAGCTCCAAGACCCAAGTGTTGAAGCTGAAGAGTCACCNCCTGGAGAAAGTGGGGAAGCGTCCTTTTCTCAAATCAGTTTGGTTGAGGAGGTTTCCCGTTCTGAAGTTACCATTGATGACAGCCAAGATCCTGGAACCGACAGAGATGACCAACAGGAAGTCTCAGATGTGGAACAAGAACCGGACGAACAGCTCCAAGACCCAAGTGTTGAAGCTGAAGAGTCACCAGGGTCACAAGTCACCGATGCAGACTAAGCGGGGTAAATTGATGTTTTAACAGACTTAAATGTCTTACACTGGATCGAAAGGCAAAAGCAAATAAAAAGAAACGATTTCTGAAGGTACCAAACAGGACACACAATAGCCACCGGAGCATAAACAACGGGTGGATAATATTGCTGCAGATGTGGAGGATGAGTTTAGTATCTGTAGAATTAGAAAATTAGCTAAATCTACGTTATCACATGCAAATGCACGATTGCAATCTAATGCTTGTTATATAAGTAGTCGGTTGTGAAGCCATGTAATGTCTTGTAGCAGTCAGGTTGGTAGCTTGGTCAACTAGGGCTTGCAGGGAACCAGTCTTGGCTGTTTCTTTTTCAATAATTACTAACTTGATAAAAAATCCCCCGTCACCTTACACAGATACTACAGACATTTTTGACGTTTTTTCCTTTTATAACCAACAATATTAAAGCTTTATTTTGTTCAGAAATAATAGAGTTATGAAAAAATGACTTTTGAATAAGATTTGAATTTTAGATTGTTGTTCAGACATGCACATGCTGTTATCAACTGCATGTATTCCATTTGAATAAAATATCTTTGAAAATACATAATGACTCTGTAACAACGCATTTGTAATAAACCGGTATTTTCTATATTCACAGCTTTCTGTAAGCACGACCAGCGTCAAAAAGTTTGCTTACCCCCTCCTCCCTCCCTCTCCCTCTCTCTCTCTCTCTCTCTCTCGATACTCAAGGGGTTTAAACTCCCAAAACGGAGTTAATTGATAGACCTGATATTATGTTTCTTTCACACACTTAAAATGTGTAATCCAAGTGTCTAAATATAGTCCGGTGGCTTAAGGAAAAAATCGTGACACGGCGGATAAAAGCACCAAATTTGGCATGTAGTTACCTTTTGACATTCTAAATCAAATAAGAGCCGTAGCCCTCCCAAACAATTTACCGTTTGGTAAAAAAATCCAAAATGGCCGCCAATTTATGGTATTCTTTAGAAATATGTACATACCCATGTTGATTTTTATCAAATAAATCATTTTCTCAGAGTTTTCCACACCCTAATTTCCCATTTTATTCATATATGTCAGATAGCAAACAAGTTTCCTTGGACTTTTTGAAAAAATCCAAGATGGCTGTCATATGCCGTAGAAACAGCCATAGGAATACTAGTGCACAACTAATACCAGCTAGAAAGATACGTTGTCCACTATCAAATTACCCACATAAAATGTCCGTGGTGAGTAACTACTAAATGTTCTTGGGCATTTTGGAAAATCCAAGATGGCTGCCATGTGCCACAGGAATTCTAGTATACGCGGGATTTAACTAATGGCAACTGGAAAGATTAATTTTCCACTATCAAATTAAGTTTGTTTCTGAGTGTTTTCCACATCCTTTCCACCCACGAAATATGTATATGGTGAGTAACTAACATGCATTCTTGGGCATTTTGAGAAAATCCAATATGGCCGCCATATGTCATAGGAATTCTTCTAGTATTACAAAGGGTTAAAACTAATGGGTTAAATCTATTCTGAGAAAATCCAAGATAGCTACAATTGACATAGGAATACTAATGGGTAAGTTTCAATTGCTGCCTGTGGTTTGTTATACAATTACATTACCATGAGTTTGTTTTAAAAATAATTTACGTTTTTCTTTCCATTTATTATTACCCCTATGGTGTATACCTCGTCTGTAGCATGTGTGCATCTTTAAGTATTCTGAAGAAATTCAAGATGTCTGTCTTTTGTCATTAGAATATTCGTACAGATAATCAAATAATGAGATACACTGAGTACAATTTAAATGTAGTTAACTTAAGATTGTTTTAAATGTTTTCCCTTTCACATCCTATTTATCCTTTTGAAAGACTCTGTGTGTGTAGAAAGTGTATGTATCCTTGAGTAGTATTCGGAGAAAAACCAAGATAGCTGCCAGTTGCGATAGGAATATATCATTCAAATGCACATAGGTGTCAATTAATGGAAAAGTTCAGACATTGATTCCAACATGAAATAAAGTTTGATGTTCAGACATGTTTACATCCTTATTAACCTCACTCTATATAAATCTGGTGTGTAGGAAGTGTGCATCTTGCGTATTTGAGAAAATTCAAGATTGCTGCAATTCACAATAGGAATAGTACAGTCAACTAGTGCCAGAGAGACATTGGGTTTAATATAAAATGAATTTTGTTTCTCGGTATTTCCCACATTCTTTTTGGACTTTGAGATATCTGTCTGGTGGGTAACAAGTGTGTACCCTTAAGTATTTTGACAAAATATCATAATGACCCTGATTTTCCTTAGAAGTGCCTATAAAATCCAATGCACCAGGTTTCTTATGGGGAAAAGAAGGCCATCTTGGATTTCCCCAAAATGATCAAATATGGACATTAATTACCTAACAGCTATGTATCACGGAATAATAATAATAATAATAATAATAATAATGATAATAAAAAACAACTGAATTTAGCTTCATTTTATATGGAAGCCTATCTCTCGCAGGCATTAACTTAACCCCACCTTCTATGGCTAATGGCAGCCATTTTGTTTTGTTTTCAAAAAGGATATACATAACATTCTCATCACATATGTAGAAATACTCAGAAACAAACCTAATTTATCAATTAATATTATATCTCCATGGCAGAAGAAGCCCTATGTGTATACTATAGTGTTCCTTTGATATGGCGGCCATCTTGGATTTTTCTCGAAATGCCTGCGAATAAAGGTTAGTTACTCACCACAAATATATTATTTCTGTAATAAGGCACTCAGAAACTAAATTAATTAGATAGTGGGCAATGCATCTTCCCAGTTGGCATTAGTTAAAAACCCTTGTACATGTTCTAGTATTCCTATGCCATACGGCGGCCATCTTGGATTTTTCAAAAAGTTCAAGGACACTCGTTTCTTATCTGACATATTTGCATAATATGGGTAATAAGGATGTGGAAAACATTGAGAAAAAACTTTATTTGATAAAAATCAACATAGGTATGTATATATTTCTACATCATTTCACACATTGGCGGCCATTTTGGATTTTTTGGCCAAACGGTAATTTTTTTCCGTGGGCTACGGCTCTAATTTGACTTAGTATGTCAAAAGGTACCCACATGCAAAATTTGGTGCTTTTATCCGCCGTGTCACGATTTGGCCATTTTTTTGCCCTAAGCAACCGGACTATAAGGAAGAGCCAGACCAATATCGTTTGGGTAAAGAGGTAGTTGTACCGTGTATTTAAAGGAACAACAATAGCGTTTCCTTATGCAATGACCAAACGTTATTTTGAAGTGCCTTGCATTAATGTCGATAGTGATGATTTATTATTTAAACCCATATATATAGATCCAAAGTCAAATGCGCTCTACTTAGTAAAAACAAATGTTTGAGTTACACTAGAACCAGAGAATGTTTAGTCGGTAGGTTAAGAAAAGTAGTTGGTGATTTGGAAATTAGGTTGCATTCACTTCGCTCAGGCAGAGCTACTGCTGTAGCAAATGAATGACAGATGTTGGAAAAGGCCGTTGCAAATCTGATTCTTCCAAGGATGGATACGAAGCAGATTCGCTTGATTGCAGATTGTCAGTTTCTACATCTTTGCACATGTAATAGAATGATTGACGCATTTTTTACCATTTACCCTAACTTTTTGAATTTATACTAGTGCGCTGGCAAAATCCATTTGATGTCTTTGTTGTTATGAAGGCGTATAGCAAAGAATTGAACATTCTCGTGTTTCGAAGTATAGCGGGAAAATGTTTTTGACGTTATTGGAGCATGCGCAATGATAGGGTGTTGCGATTAAAAGATATTTGTGGTCATTCTAGGCTTACGTGCACTGCTATGCAGATCAATTTTCTCAAATTTTTAATTTAACAGTATCTTATATTTGCGTAAACAAAAGGGGAAGTCTGACTCATTTAAATCTGCAGTATGAAAGGCGCTGGAGTATGAAAGGCGTGCTCACGACGCACAATCGTGTCTCGCCAATAAACGTCGATTGCGCAACGTGTACAACAATTTTCAAAAATTTCAAATTTTGTTCAATTCTGCATTTAATATGCCTCCAAAAGACAAGAGAAAGAAGCTTAGAGAGCAGTACATCTCACGTGGACCCTGCGACTTTACCTCCTCTACCTCTACGAAATCCACGACCTCCACTGCACCCAAAATTCGTAGGGAACGTACGATCCTAAAATTCGTGCGTCTGGTTGTGACCGAGGCTTAAATGGATAAATGGTTTAGAAAATACAAATTGCGGTAAAAATATCCATATTTATACCATCTTTCAAATTTATAAAATGTACCACACTAAGGTTTTCAAAGAGGCAAAGGAATGTTCATTAAATTGAAAAGACGCTATCAAATATCACCAAATTTACACATAATTAGCATTAGGGTGTTCTCGTTAAGGGTAAAGTGTCTAATAGCGTACGGTTACACCGCATGCTGAAATTATCTCCTGCAGGCGCCGCAGCTTGCCTTCACAAAGGTAACAGTTCTGTTTTAAGGGATAATGCCCCAGTCATGCTAAAATGCGGATTTGTTCCGGATTATTGGGAGGTTTGTGCTCCTCTGCATTCACACTCTAATTCATGCCTTTTGCACCTTTCTTGGGTTATCGAAAAAATCCTTAGATTACCAAAAATTTTTCAAAATACAGGGTTACTACTTAATATGGAATATCATTTTTGGCGAGTAAATTTTCTACAAAATATTTATATTCTCTCTAACTATTTTAAATCCAAAACGAAAGTGTCACTCCATGTGTAGCCAGGTGTGTTACCTAATTACCACATAACTCTCGAAACAATTGATGCATACAGTTGCATGTTCTGTGGTCAGAAATGTGAGCGGTGGTCTTTTCGGCAATTTCTGCCCTTGTATAAAAACGCCTGGGTTTGGTCAGTCTTTGGAGTGTATTTAGAGAAGCAACAAAGGGATCAAAGGGATTATACTGCTGACGTTCTGTCAACGTAAATTAGTTTTTTTCTGAAAGGAGTCAGCTAAGCCGGAGGTGAGTCTACTAGAACACACAGAGGACGATACCATTTTAACCCAGGGGCGTACAGAGATGGGTATAAACGCCTTAAAAACTATCGGTGTGCCCATGATTATTTATTGACACTAAAATCATCCTTAGAAATGGTGTGCACAGCTCTATTAAGTCGGGCCAAGGCAGAGGCACATAAATCCCACAACGTCATACACAGCAATTTGGACCTGAAAACACATGTATTACGTTACATTACTTTGGCGGGTCAGGTTTTTTTTTTTTCTACATGGGAATGCCCAAACGGAAAATTTCGCTAAAGGGCACGTAACAGCACTGACCAATCCAGTAGCAACTGTGACTGCG